CATAAGAAACAAATATGCCATAAATTAATCAATTTGCTATTCACACATTTTCCCTGTTGTATCTCCAATATCGATAGCACCAGCCTAGCCTCCATTTGAAAATGATCTGGCAATACTAGTGGAGAAAACAGCCTTCATCCTCCAACTCTTCTTCCTCTTCCTCCTCCTCTGCGTTCGTCGACTTCTGGCTCCTAACACAACATTAAACCACCCACATCCTCTCACCGTTCTCCATAATAAGAGCAGTACTCCTGCCACCTACAGTGTTCTCTGAAATATCTGGCACAAATATATGTGAAATGTGAGTGGTGTTTTGTGATATTTTTCTCAAGAATGTTGTATTAATACAGTGCTCTTGCATTTAGCCTTCATTGTAGCGGTCTTGCTGTGTAACAAAGCTTAGAGCAAATGCCTATATTGTAGCATTCATGTGAATGTCTTGAATGCATACCAGTGGGGTGAGGTGTATTTAAAAATGCCTGGAGGACTGTATTTGGCCCTGCAGCAGAGATGTTGGATATCCACCATCTGGCTTAGGTTGAGTTTTATAGTGCTATATGTTTAAAGTACAGGCAGGGGTTAGGGATGGTATTACAGCTGAGGCTAAGGTAAATATCACGTGATTATACTGTCTTAAAGTTGTCTAGATGCTAGGGTAAAATTACAGGGAATTAAAATTACAGACAACTGTGGACAATGAGGATTGTAACCTTGTCCATGACAGATATGTCGGCTCTAGTTCTTGGCCTGGTTGCTTTTGTGTGTCTGTGTTTGTATGATTCTTGTGCACCTAAGGAGAAGATAGCCTGTGTTTCATATTCCTCTCTAGCAAGACTAGAGGCGACTCTATCCATCTGGCAACTTAGGGCATTTCCTCACAGCTAGTTGTTGGCATGCTCACTGGTATCATAAATGCATGTTTACCTCTGTTTTCCTAAGTTACCAAGGAAAGATTTATTGCATAATTGCTGTTATTGATAATGAGCAGAGGATGTTGGACCGTGAAGAGACCTGATTCTAGGCCATGTTTTATGAGTCAGGATGAAGCGCTGCCAGTTCATCAGTTTTCTTCTTGGCTTCAGTGTCCTCAATGATCAAAGTTAAATGGCATTGGATGCAGGTTGAAAACAGTGCCTGAGGATCCTGCTGTTGCATGCCTGAAGACAAGTAATGTAACTTAACAAGTGAAATCATAGCATTTGAATTTGTCACCACACAAACTGTCACCTAATACCAAAAACAAATGTCTAATCAACTTACAGGTGTTAAGAACTAACTTGGTCATTGAACAGTGTTGCTGTCTTTCCATTCTAATAGGAAATGAATGAGAAATGAGATGAATGTATTGAAAAAGATGTTGCAGTACATTAGTTAAATGCCGTTCGTGCTTCTCTTCAGTGAGTCATTTTAACTGCACTCTGCTCTTCATGACTAGGAATGAGCCTGTCCAACCAAAAAATGTTGATGGCAGAGGAAGAGAATTTGCTTCATAACCAAAATTGAAAGTAGACCAGCCAGCCAGCTGCCAAAAGAAGCAAATATTTCCCCCCCTGTGTCATAAGGGAAAATGGGATGTTTTGCTAAGCTGCAGAATGGCCAAGAGTGAAGGAAGCCAAGGGCGCACAGGCATGCATGGAGCGTACTAATTATCATTTTCTAGACAAAGAGTTGGTTCCAAATGAAAAGTGTTGTAATGCTACACAATATCTGGACAAAGATCCCAAGACATGTGAATACCAAGGAGGGGTAAGGAGAGGAGAGATAAGCCCACACTATGCAGACCATGCATTGTAATACAGTGTTAAACTTGACAACAGTTGAGTTTAAAGCATCTTTGCCATGAAACTGGGACTGGTCTTTAGCAGGTCGTGGCCTTCCTGGGTAGGTAAATGGCCTCTGTTCACTTCTATTGCAAAGTCTTACTTTGAGTCCTTTAAAAAGAGTTTATTTTACATTTCATGCACAAAACTGTCTTGTAGTAGCAAAACGTCTTTTTAAAGGTTTTTACACTTGTACCGCCTGCTGGCTTAAACAGAATAAACTGTTTTGATTCAATTAAAAATGCTTTGGAATAATCTATTAAATACTTAATGCAACTTTTGACAACATTTCAGTTTAATATTTAAATTTTAGCTGAAAGCTTAAAAAAAAAAAAATCTGCTTTCATAATCATTTCAGTCATCACAGACTGGCATAGAGAAAGCAATCTTTTTCTGATTTGTCCCTGTCTCCTCTTGAGACTCTGCTCAATTATTCCCATTGAGACAGTATTCATACTATTGTCTGAATGGATTCAGAGACGAGAACAAGTTTATGCTGGCTTCATAATTTCCATGGTCTGATCACAAAGGAGGCACTTGTTTTGGTCTCTTGTCTCTTGGTCATTTCCTTGTTGAGGGTTAAGAGGAGGATTGGCTGTGTGGATTGTGGCAGCTAACAGTCCCACATTGTGTGAACCGGCGCTGCTTCACAAAGAGCCCGTTGTGAAGAGCATTGGCCTGGGTAGAAGAGACAGTTTGTAGACTAGGTGACAGAGAGGTGTAGGTTTGAGGGGGCTAGAGCCGCAGTGGACGGCCCAGCGTAGGGGCGTGTATTGGTGCTCAGCCGGTGCAGGGAGGGTGCACACGTGTGATAGGAGTCCCATGCTGCTTGCCACACAGCTGTAGTGCAATACTTCTACTGTACTCCCACACAACCCCCGCCTACTTCAAATAATCTCGCTCTCGCTCTCTCTTAGAGGTGAACAGCTGTATGAAAATAGGTTTTATAACCAGAGCTGATGTCAGGCCAGAGAATTCGATGCTGTGATTATGAAACTGGTTGCTTAAGTTGCTTGTACAGCTGTTCCCAGAATTACAGATTTTGCTGTTTATCCTCTTCTGAATCCAGCTCAAGGACAAGCCCATGTGTGGCGTACACTAGAACGTACACAGACAGATGACCGAGCAGTCCAGTGTCATAACCTGCAACCCCCCCCCGCTGTTCCCCTTGATCACCAGCTTGAGGCTGCGTCTCTCTTCTCTCACCCTCTATGGTCCCTTCTCTGTCTCCAAGCCTCCTTCCGCTCTCTGTGTCTGAGAGTGACAGGGCTCTCAGGTCAAGCTGATGCCAGTGTGTGTCTCCAGTCTGAAGCAGGCCTAGCTCCTCAGCCAGCTGTCTCTAGGTTTGTCTGGCTGTCTGTCAAGCCCGGCTGTTGCCCCAGCCTTTTCACTTTAGTCTTGAGCCCTTTCATGATGGACCATTTTAAAGCCACAGGCATAAGACTTGGGACCACAACATAATGATCAACTGAGTCATTACTCGTTACCATGGTCCAAGTTGCGAAGGTCATAGTGCCTGCTGTACCATGCTAGAAGTCTCCGACTTTTAGCTTACTCTTATCCTTAGACTAGCCTACTGTCTGCATTGCTCTAATGTGCTGTAACAAATTTTGTCACTATCCTTTTACAATGTAGACAGTGGTTGAAGAGTTGAGAATAAAAGTGACATTTAACAGTTCAGAAGTAAACCTGGTCTCTCATCTGCCCTCAGGGTGGGATTACCACAAACTGTTGACTTCTGTGTCCACATTAGAGGCCATCCATAGGCTTAAATTGCTCTGTAACTGACAAGCTATGGTTATTCAGCACTATTTGGGTTCTTGCATTAGATTTATTTGGTCACAAATTAAATTGAATGTGGTACCTTTTTTAATTTTGTTTCCAGCTCTGTCTCCTAATATATTCAAATTTACTGAGGGCTGTAATTTGTCATTTGTGGCTGTCCTGGTACTCATTGCTTAGAACCACTGCAGTATTTGTCTATAATTTTGTCTGCATGTGGATGTTAGGACCCAAAAGCTGTTCACTTGACTTCCTATGCCCAGTGTGCTCAGTTGCGCAATACTCATTTACCTCATTGAACAAATATAAATCCCTCCGTCAACATCAAGGCTGCCCCTATTGCTCAAGCAAGTCATTGTGAGGTCAGACAAAGCAATGTCAGTTTTCTAAGCTAGTATAATTTGTTATGGTAATAATGTGTACATATATTTTCATTCTTTTAAGTACTGTCTTTGTAAGAATGTTCTAATGCAGTTAGAAAAACATTTTGAAAAAGCTGCATGATTAGCACAACAGGTTCACTTGGAGTCATGCAGTAGTACGGGCTGTAACTACAGTACACTGTCTTATCTGTTGAGCTGTCATGTGTTTGTTCATTGTAAATGAGCCGTGCCTACACACAGCCACTGTGTGCTTACGCAAACCTGCATGTAAAACATTAAGTTGTACACAAAGTAGGTATTGTTCTGGAAGTGCTATGGTAATGTTATGTATGACTGACAGATGGTACCTGGTCAGTGTGCATTGCTGAGTTTACACGTCACACCTAGGCATCAGACAGATTAAACTCAAACCTGCTTGGTGAACCCATGAACTTGCGCTGTTTATAAGTCCTACGTGGCTGTGTAGATTGGGGCTGAGCACTAACATTATGATGTACCTATGCTATATTCACATTGGAAAGGCTACAAAGTGATTAAGCAAAACAAGGGTAGATGGCACATTTGGCACCTTTTTAACTCATCAAAAATGAGGTTTGATAGCATTAACCACTACTAAAAGTGCATCATTACTACTGTGTTGACTGTGGAACTTGGATTGAGTGGTTACTATACTGTACAATATCAAGCTGGGTCTGTCAGTCCAGAACAGTACCTGATTGTCTTGTCTAAGATCACATTATTGATAGGGGTGCTTTCTTTTACATAAAAAAAGCTTCATATAATGATGCAATTATGTAATTATTATATTTTAAGTGCTGCAACACATCTCAAATATTTAAATATTACGCAAAGCCCCAACAGGAACATTGGTCTATGTACAGACTGTTATCAGTGTGTGGTGTGCCAAACTTGGCATGAATATTGATGCTGGGGTGGATTGTGTGAGAAGACAGACGCACCATGTGGAGGGATATGTGGGCACGTCTGTTCACTGTGTCTCTGTTATGTCCTCCAGCCCAGCACTCTACCCCAGGGTACGATCAATATGAACCAGTGCTCTGACGTCATCGACGGAGAGTCCAGGACAGGTCAGAAGAACTCGCTGTGCATCTTGACCCCTGAAAAAGAGCACTTCATACGGGCTGAGTGTAAAGAAATCATCAACGGGTAAGATATAACAAGTAGGAATGTGATCGGTTAATGTAGCATTGACAAACAGTCTGCCATTATGTGAAAATCTAGCTTCAGGTGTGCAGAACAATTTGTGTTGCTCTGGTTTTTGTGCTGAGTGGAAAGGGATGACGGAGACTTGAACAAGGATGAATAGTTGTCCAACTGCTGTAGCAGCCAAGACTGGTCTGCCCCCTGTTGTCTCGTTTGAGCTGTGCTTGTCAGAGTTGTGATCCACTTTGCAGTGACAGTGCGCATTTGTGATTTCTTTTGTCTCCCTGTGTTCACAAAGCCCTATATGCTTGGATGCAAACCAAAATACATGATCCATAAGCCTCATTATACAGTTTTCTCCTGTGCCGTCTCCTCCTCCTCCTCCTTTCCTGGCTGTCACATACATATTATGGCTATTCTTAGGGAACTGTGACTCACAACACCCACTCTCTATTATGCTACCTGCTCTATCACTGTAGACCTCTCACTTCCCGGTCATTTGGTTTTCATGTGTTAGTCCCAGTCCATCACACACGTGGCCCCAACAAGGTCATTAACTGACAGCAGTGCAACAACCAGGATAATTTTTTTTTTTTTATGAATTTTTGTAAAACTTTTCCTGGTTATGTTTACTTCCTCACAAATGTCTTATGACTCATTCTGTTGCGTGGGCACTCATTCATTATAACTGCATCACATGTTTCTATTTATGACGGTTAGTGACACTCCACACCAAAGGCTTTCACTATTTGTGGGTGGAGTATGAAAAATAACACAAGTGTTGTGTACCATAGTGCTTGACTTTAATGTTCTAAATATAGTCAGAGGTCTGATTCACATGAGGAAGATTATTATTGTTGATGGGTGATTTCACATTACATTATTTAGATTTGAAGTCCATGTTAGTTTACTTACTGTGAATGTCACATCCATTATCCATACTGCTTATTCCTGAGTGTGGGGGGTGGGCTGCTGGCAATCCCAGCTGACATTGGGCGAGAGGCGGGGTCCACCCTGTACATGTCACCAGTCTATCACAGGGCTGACATGTAGACAACCACACACACCCACACTTACTCCTATGGGCAATTTAGATTTGCCAGTCAACCTAAGCTGCATGACGATGGACTGAGGGAGGAAGCCGGAATACACGGAGAGAACCCACGCAGGGACAGGGAGAACATGCAAACTCCACACAAAGTGCCCGGGCTCGAACCCGGGACCTTCTTGCTGTGATCAGTTTTTAGTCAACAAAAAAAACTTATTTATTTTAGTCGTCAGTAGATGTGTTGACAAAAACGTTGTGAACATTTTGGTCTAGTTTTTATCAAGACCAAGAATAAGCATTTTAGTCAGACTTTGTCAAAGTGCTTCAAGGTGAGAATTCATGCAGATCATTTTGGCTGGATACATGCTTTACTTGTAGCAATTAATTAGATTAAAGTATCCTCATGATGCGCCTTTTAGTAAAGATCCTATTCTTAAAATCTTTACCAAGAGCAAAAACACAGCTTAAGTGATCAAGGAAAACAAAATGTGACCATACCGCTGTTTACAATGCTTTGTGTTTGACTCTTAGAGGATTATTAAAGTGTATTATTATTTTTATTTATTTATTTTTGCTGCAGAAAATATCAGAACAGTCAAGTATTGGTCCACTATGGTTGCAGGGTTTGTGTATCTGCATTTAGTGTTTCAAGAGCAACACTTTTTCACCATTCATAGGTGGCAGGAGGCTCTGACTGTATACCCAAGAACCAACAGGCAGAACCAGAAGAAAAAACGCAAGGTCGATCCACCCACTCACCAGGTAATGCACCAAATCACATTCTTCATGATAAAGGGCTTTTACTGGCATTGCTCAGTCTGAGTGAGGTAAGAATACTGAGCAGTCAAACTCGGGTAAAGGTCCTGATTTCTTTTCTTTGTGTATGGGTGAAGTCTTGAATGTTTTGTGATGATGGCAAAGTCGGACCAGGGGACTCCTAACACAGAATAATTAATTTTATGATATCTAGGTTACTCTATACCAGGGGTGTCAAACTCAATCGCACAGGGGGACAAAACTCAAAGCACACTTTAGGTCGCGGGCCGAACAGGATAAACATTTATTGAACAGACTAAAACTAAACTTTTTTTTTTTTTTTTTTACATAAATATGAATCGAAACAGACAGGATACAATATTATTCCAAAATAAATAAACTTGAACTTAAAATAAGCAACCATATTTCTGCTAAGACTTACATTTACAAACACCTTCTTTTTGTCTGGACACAAGACGTCGCACACTTTCATCATACAGCTCTTCAGAAACTCTCCCTCGGTAAATGTCCGGGCTGATTTTCTCCTCTGCAGCAATAAAACTTGCTTTCACAGCAGCTTCACTGTGTGATTTCGCTGTGATGTCAGATTCCTCTTCAACTCCTCTACCTTCTGTAGCTTCTACTCTTCATTCACGTTTTTCAGCTTGTCCTGATGTTTTGTCTCGTAGTCCCGTCTTAGGTTATATTCCTTAATTACAGCCACATTAGCTCCACAAATAAGACACACAGGTTTACCGACAATGTCAGTAAACATATACTCAGCCTCCCACCGGTTTAGAAAGGCTCTGTTTTCAGAATCAACTTTTCTCTTGGCCATTGTTAGGGGTTAGCTTTGACTTGAAATTAGGGCGGTATACATCAACAGACGCTTGATTGATCTGACGTAATTGACGCAGGAAAGATCTCAGGTAACCTATCGTTCGGTAAGGCAGCTGTTGTGCCGCATTATGGGATTTGTTGTGTGTTATCGGCACTTCATATCGCCGGGCCATTAAAAAAAGATGTATAAAATGATCTCACATGCCGGATGTAATTGTACGCCGGTTCGGATGTGGCCCGTGAGCCTTGAGGTTTGACGCATGTGCTCTATACCTAAGGACAGCATGTGCCATGAAAGTATGCAGGACTGAGGCATTACATTCCAGTCAAACTACACAATCTGTTTTCCCCTCAGAGATGAGATGTATTGTTTTTTTTGTTTTGTTTTGTTTTGTTTTGGTTTTTTTTAATTGATGCTGTTAAAAGAAGTTGGATTGAGGACGTTCGGGGAGGCGACATTGGTGCAGTGGGTAGAGTAGTAGTCTCCCAACCAGAAGGTTGGAAGTTTGAATCTCTGTGCCTGCAGTCCACATGTTGAAGTGTCCTTGGGCAAGACACTGAACCCCACTGTTGCCCATGATGGCGGCGTGTATGCACGCAGCAGCCCGAGACCAGTACCTCATGTTATCCCTGTTCTTATCATTACAGTGCTGCTAAAATGACTCAAATCCTCACAATGTCTGAGGGATCCCACAAATATTTTCTAATTTTTATACCATAACCACCTCAAGCCCCAGACTTAACATGCCACATGTTTGAGTTTACGAGACCTTAAAGGCGAAATACTACTGAATTCTCAGTAGTACTGTTCATTAGGTGACTTTGAACAGTGATTGCTTTGTAAAAGGTCAAAGTGTTTATTTTGTCATATGCACAGTTAGGAAACGTGTTTCCCTGTACAATGAAATTCTTACTTTGCCGTCCACATGAATGCCACAAAATACAAATGAAATATAAAGTAGATGAATAAGTAACACAAAATCTAACACACTTTAAGCAGCAACAAAGCATACATTCTGTTCTATTCTTATATATTTTTTATTATATTGCTGCATCTGTTGCTGCTTAAAGTGTCTTAGATTGTGTGTTATTTATCTACTTTATATTTCATTTGTGTTTTGTGGCATTCATGTGGACAGCAAAGTAAGAATTTCATTGTACAGGGAAACACGTCAGCCTTCTTGATCAGCTGTGTGGTGTTAAGTGTCCAAGTGAGGTCCTCACAGATGTGGACACCCAGGTATTTGAAGCTGCTCACCCTCTCCACTTCGAGCCCCCAGATGAACAGTGGCTGATGAGATCTCCTCTCCCTCCTCATGTCCACTATCATCTCCTTCGTCTTGTCCGTGTTGAGGCTGAGATCATTGTCCTTGCACCATGACACCAGACTGGCCACCTCCCTCCTGTAGGCTGCTTCGTCTCCACCAGTGATGCGACCTATTACTGCAGTGTCGTCCGCAAACTTTAGGATGATGTTGTCTTTGTGGAGGCGACACAGTCGCGGGTGAACAGGGTGTAGAGGATGGGACTGAGGACACATCCCTGTGGGGTGCCAGTGTTTGTAACAGTGCTGGCTGAAATCCTATTACCAGAAGGGCCAGAAGAAACAGAAATTCCAGAAATTCCACAGCAATACAGTGTCTACAGTGAATCTAGAAAGAATAAGGAAAACGGATCAAATTATGTTAACTATAGCCACCAGTGTTGAACTAAAAATTGAATGATTTCATTACACAAACAGGCTCATTTAACGAGGGACAGCGGTGGCACAGTGATGACCTTGACTGTGTCCCATGTGACATCATCATTTATGTCTGGCTTTGTTTGTTCCTGTATTCATCAACAGTACTTTGCTGTGTAGATAAGTGTACCTGCTATGTTCTCCATTTTTGGCATACTTAGAGTAGGGTTGACAAAGTGTGCGGTCGAGTGTGCTTTCACTGCTTGTCTCATGCTAGTTGCTATCATCGTCATCTGGGCTGTTTGGTTGTTTTGGGTTGAAAACATGATAAAGATTATCCCAGTTAAATGTGTTAAGGGTCACATTTTCCATACATGTTCTCAGAATTTCTATTCCTCCTACTTTAAATAAAAGTATTCATATCCTCAGACTGTTGTAAATCAGCACAGTAACATGTTTGCCTTGTGGGTAGTGCTGCTTTGTTGAAGCACCTCACCCAGAGTCCACTAGTGACACAAAACGTCGTTTCCTATCTCGTACTGTAACTGAAAGGAAGGAGAAGTAGTTCATAGTAGTTCATACTTTGAGATTGTGTTGTATCTGTAATCCCATTTTATTTATGTTATAGTTCTTTAAAGGATTTTTGTGATTGGCAGGATGGAGTTACTCCAAGCCAGTGTTTTTCTACTGAAGACTTGAATGGACACCCAGTGAGTCTAACTTGGCCAAACTTTTTATCCTGCTTCACCTTTAAAAAAAATGCCTGGCTTTAAATCAGCCCTTGTAAATGATATTTATTGGCAGCCAAACCAATCCAGGTGAAGGATGAAAGAAGGGACATGATTTTTGCTTCTCGCTCTCTTGCTCTTTCTCTCTGATACTGAAAGAATGATTTTGCATTTTTTAAAATTCTCTTAAGCACAACAGCATGTTTGTGGGTAGGCTGGCTGAAAAGCTGTTAATGGGTTTACTTGCTCTTATCTAAAGTGATTTATTTATTTTTTTGTGGGTCTGCTGATCACTAAAAGACTTCTGGTAAGTAGGGGTGATATCAGACTTTGAACATAACAGCAATAAGTGCTTAATTTGTTTTGCACTTTACATTATTCAATCAAATTGTTATTTTTGTTTTCTGTATCCCTCAATTAAACAGGTGTTTGGCTTGAATGACTCTTGACTTGACAAGCTGTCCTTCGTTTCCTCCTTTCCCAGAATGCCATTTTACAGTTGATGAAAGAAATTCATTTGTTTTGTCACGTACTGTATTTATCTGATGCATAGACATAAAAATCTAACAAGTTAAAAGAAAATTAAAACATGGACAGACCAGTGGTGTAATATCATGATGCACTCTTCTCTCCAGGTGAGAAGAAGAATGTTGATTTTACTGAATAACGTAATGTCAAACAGAGGGAGGAACTAATAATTAAGATAACTTGATATAATGGCAATGGGTAGTGGTAGCTACAGTTGAGAGCATTTAGTCATGCACATCAAGAATTCAGATATATTAAGATATTTTAAATCATTGTTACTTTTCAGTGTTTAATGTCCTTGAATTCTTTCCTTCTCATATTCCTTTTTGTAGTCTCTGTGTGACCTTACGTCTCATTATGTCCTTTCCTCTTCATATCTACTCGTTCCAACCCAAACCTCTACCCAGGAGCCAGGCCCTGCCAAGGTGACGGTGACCAGTGGGGGCAGCATCCCCTGCCTACCCAGCAGTATTGCCAGTGCAGAGCGTGTCCCGATGAGCCGTGCCACTCTGTGGCAAGAGGAGAGCCGCTGGAGCAGGGCTACCATCCCGTGCAGCCGCAGCACCTCCTGCCTCAGCCAGCTGAGCCAGAGCCAGCCAGACTCCAATATCACTACTCAAGATGGTGTGGACTAAGAAGAGAGAGTGCAAATTTGTTAACATCCTCTGTATATGCTTCTGCTTTTGTTTCACTCTTAGAAAAGGATAACTAGGTGATTTTTTAGAAACTGTTCTCTAGTCACAGCTAGATAAAGGCTGCAATGACTTGGGCTAATGCATAAACCTGTTCAGGCACTCGACCATCACTCTTAACTCTCAGGGAAAATAGTGATTTGTCATTATACATATCTGTTGTATAGTATACAACAGATATGTATGTCGTCTCCCCTCCCCCCATGACACACACACTCACACTATTGTACATGCAATCTATTTTGGGTGTTTTATATTATTGGCACTGTCCTTGTTTCAGATGGCAGCACTGTGAGCACTGGACGCAAGATACGAGTGGAGAGTGGTTACTTTTCCCTGGAGAAGACCAAGTCAGAACCTTCTCCACAGTCTACTCAGCATTCCCAGCCACCCCAGCATCTGCCCCTGTCCTCTTCAGCCTTGTCCTTATCATCAGGAGTGCAAAATCCCAGGTACAACTCTGAGTCAGAACCCCAAGCTTCCCTTTATCAGTCCTCCCAAGATCCTCTTCCTTCTCCAGGTGCACTTATTTCCCCCAGCTACTCCACTATCAGCTCCTCCCAGAGCTCGCTGGACTCTGAACCCAGCAGCACAACGCCCACCTGGGAGGGACACAGTGTGGGTGGAGGGTCCACTGCTAGTGTCCCTGGAAGAGGCAGAGTGGGCCGTGCTGGCAGGGAGTATGTAGTGCTGTCAGATGTGCCACGGGCTCGCAGGCTAAGTTACCGAGAAGCATTTCGCTCTGAGAAAAAGTGTCAAGAGCTGAGGACACGGACACGGAGTCCTGGCAGAGAGGAGGTGGCTCGGCTGTTTGGAGAGGAGCGCAGGTGAGAGGTTATGGATCAGTGTCATGCTTGGCATACTGCACAAAAGATTAGAGATTTTCAACTTTTTGGATCTGCTTTCAAAGATGTGGATATTAAACACATATTTACATAGAAGCATACAGGCATGTGAAAAAATTAGGACACCCTTTGAAAGCGTGTGTATTTTGTAACATTTTTTAATCTCAATTTTAACATTGTAGAGAGATTAATACAACTAAACAAGTAAAACTGAAGAAAAGTCTTTTCAAGATCTTCTGTAAATGTAAACAAAAATGCCTATTCTAACTGAGGAAAAAGATAGCTAGTGTTGCCTCCTTTGGCTGAAATAACTGCAGTGAGACGGTTCTTGTAGCCATCTACCAGTCTCTGACATCGGTCTGAGGAAATTTTACCCCACTCCTCAATGCAGGATTGTTTCAGCTGTGAGATGTTTGAGGGGTTTCTTGCATGTACAGCCCTTTTCAAGTCACCCCACAGCATCTCAATGGGATTCAGGTCTGGACTTTGACTCGGCCATTCCAGGACTCTCCATTTCTTCTTTTTCAGCCAGTCTTTGGTTGATTTACTAGTATGTTTTGGGTCATTGTCATGTTGCATGGTCCAGTTCCGCTTCAGCTTTAATTTTCTAACCGATGGTCTCACATGTTCTTCAAGCACCTTCTGATACACAGTAGAATTCATGGTGGATTCTATGATGGTGAGCTGACCAGGTCCTGCTGCAGCAAAGCAGCCCCAAACCATGACACTTCCACCTCCATGCTTCACAGTTGGTATGAGGTTCTTTTCCTGGAATGCTGTGTTTGGTTTACGCCAAACATGTCCTCTGCTCTGGTGTCCAAATAATTCAATTTTGGACTCATCTGTCCAAAGAACATTATTCCAGAAGTCCTGGTCTTTGTCAACATTCTCTCTGGCAAATGTCAGTCTGGCCTTGATGTTTCTCTTAGAGAGCAAAGGTTTCCTCCTTGCACGCCTCCCATGCAAGTTAAACTTGTGCAGTCTCTTTCTGATTGTAGAGGCATGCACTTCTACATCAACAGTAGCCAAAGCCTGCTGTAGGTCTCGAGATGACATTTTAGGGTTTTTGGAGACCTCTTTTAGCATCTTGCGGTCTGCTCTGGGGGTGAACTTGCTGGGGCGACCAGACCTGGGCTATTTCGCTCACACCATGGTGCTCACTCTCACTTCAACAGTCAGGAGCACACCAAACTAAATGTCTGAGGTTTAGATAGAGCAAGCCTCATTCAAAATGCTGAGTAACGATCTACTAATTATGTGCACTTGGTGTGATATACCTGTGTGTGTGATTTGAGCCATTTTAAGAGGGCATACATGTGAGGGTGTGCTGTCTTTTTCCTCAGCTAGAATAGGCATTTTTGTAGAATTACATTTACAGAAGATCTTGAAAAGACTTTTCTTCAGTTTTACTTTAGCTGTTACTTTAATCTCTGTATTGTTAAAATTGAGATTAAATAACCATATATTAAAAATGTTACAAAATACACATGCTTTCAAATGGTGTCCTAATTTTTTCACATGACTGTAAGTGCAGATTTACTTGACTATAGATGATGATTGCAGACATGATTTAAAAATCACTGAGCTACTGGTTGTTGGTCCTTTTGTATAAACCTAAAGTTAGCATGCCAAGTAATCTATTATGTGAAGTTCATGCATTTCTTAAAACATGCAGCATTTTAGATTTTTAGCATCATCCTGTGATGCCCTCTCTGTTGAGCATCTTTTGCTGTCGCTGCCTACCCTAGCTTACCAGTGGTTTGCCAGTAATGGTTATGGGGGTTTAAATGCATGAGTTACTTTCTCTTTCTATCTTTTGCTCTTGCTACTTTGCTAGTTGTTGTTTCAATCTTTTCCAGGGGCTTCTGAACAGAGCTTCTCAGAGCTAATGCTCAACCAGCCCTTCCATCCCTGTCCCAATGCTGTTCCCTGCTGGTCACCGCTGAGTCCTGCTTTCTATCATTTCATCTCTGCGCTTCCTGGAAGCATACACTGTTCTATCAGATATTGACTGTATATACTGTACATAATCTCACATGCTGATGGTTGGTTATACATACTGTGTACAGTTCAGTGTTTGCTCCTTTCTCCTGCAGTCACATACACATTAACAAGTGTAGTGCTTTAAGTTAACACTGCCATAGCAGCTACTTCTGCACTTTGTTTAATCCACCATCCTAGTCATTTTCATTTACTTAAGTGTAATCTTTCATCAAATAACACTACTCTTTATTCTTGGGTGTATCTTTTGAATGTTCTTTTTGGGGATATTCTTTATGAAAGGGGCTTAATTTAGAATGATGTCCACAATCAAACTTTGTACTTATTGTCTGTGGATGCTGTCAGTAATAGCAGCATTGAACTCTGCACACAAGAAACAAAGTACTTGGATCTATTATGGAAATAAATTTGCTTTCATGTCATGGCTTGGTCTTTTTTTTCTATGCTAACTGATTTGCCACCCTTTGAGGATGACATGCTGTATCACTGTTTTTTTTTGAAGACTACTCCTTTTATTTTACCAGTTTTTAATACTGCAAAATACATTTTTTTTAAACAATGGCAAGGATATTAAACTTTTAATCCAGTCAGGCTTCTCTCTTGAGTGAAATACTGTTATGTACCGAGTACTTCTTTAAAAGTAATAGTCTTGTGCCTTTTAGGCGCTCTCAAATCATCGGCCGGTTTGAAGAGGGTCAACATGTAGAGCGTATGGACACAAGCAGCTCCACTGAGCCCTCTTCTACCACCATGCTAATCCCGAGACAAGGCCGCAGCGAGAGACGCTACCTAGCTAACAAACATGTATGCTCTTTCTTTTATTAGTTATAAAAACTAAATCCAAAAAGATTTCAAATATTTATAATTCACTGAATAGTTTACGTACTCTATACAATGAGAGGGACATGGTCTTTATACCTTGAACTGCTTCTAATTTGTAATCCTAATTTTATATTAATAGGAGATGTCACTGGATGCAGGAAAGGACCGCTTCGTCCATGATGTTTCTAGCTCTGCTTTTGCCAACTTAAGAAGAGCCAAGTCACTGGACCGCAGAGGCAGCGAGTCCTCAATGACTGTGAGTATTGGTAGTACTTTTGAGAGTAGCTGTAACCAATGGACTACAAAATCATTTGAGGGTCTCGAGTGCAGAGATCCCGCACCACCCTCCCACACATGAAGACAGCTAATTTAGTTTTATGTAATAGTTTTATGAAACTTTTTTATTTTAGGGAGTGTCATTATAGGAATAAAATATTTAAATGAATTTGTGAATAACCCCTTATTTTTTTTAATACAAGTAACATGATTTATTATTGGTCTTGTTATGAAAGCAAATAAGAATTTATATACACATAAATATATATTTACACACACACAAATAAATAGCATAGTATGCATCCTTTTTGTAATGTGCACTGTTCAGGAGAATGATGGTATGCACTGCTCAGTCATAAAAATTGTACATAATGTAACTTCATTTATGTACCCACCCAAACGGCATTACTGGACTTGTTTCCATTACTCTTAACAAGTGAGTAAAGTAGTTCTGAGGCCTGACTCCTATCAGTCTGACAACCTGCTGCTGATCTGAGGTATGCTCAGAGCTCACTACAGCATTGATCCAGTCAGCCTGTGGTTGGTCTGTCTAGCTGAGCTGCAGCTGCCAGGACCCCCACCCACTCAAACATGCGCGCACACACACATTCGTATATCCACCACTGCTGCCACTGCTACTGATGATTATAAATAGCACAGAAGCAACCGCAGTTGTGTGTGTGTGAACCCTGGGACAGACGAAAAGAAATAGATTGTCAACATATGAAGTGAAGGCAGTTAGCCATCAGAATGACTCTCTGCCAGGCGATGACACCACACCTGATGAAGCTCAACAAAAACAAGGTATTGTCGATTTGAGCAGAAGCCATATTCAAGGCAAATGATTTAGACTCTATAAACAGACTTTGAGCTTGGTTTCACTGAGCAGCAGTTTGTGTTTCACAGGGAAAGTTCGGCTCCCGCCAGTCGGTCTCTTTAGCTTGAGTCTCGTATAGGTACATATAATTCTTGAGCTGAGGTGGTGATCTAAATGTAAACAAATGCACATAAATGCATCAGTCATGAGGGAGATTTTATTTATTCTGATTGCATCAGTGATGTAATAATTTCAAATGGTGACAAATTTGTACAAATCATTATTATTATTAATCTAGTTGTCCATAATATCACATCACTCTGGTTTGTTGCAGCCAGATCTGCTGAACTTCAAAAAAGGATGGATGACCAAGCTGTATGAAGATGGAATGGTAATTTGTAATCATTATTAGGATTAAGTGACCATCTGCTTCTTCCTCGTACTGAAGTAATATATTATATGCATAGAGTAGTAGTATGTTGTCTTTTTGTCCTCTTAGTGGAAAAAACACTGGTTTGTACTGACAGACCAGAGTCTGAGGTACTACAAGGACTCCATAGCTGAGGAGGTAGGGCTTCTCTTCAAAGTGATTGTAAAATTTGCTTGATTATTTGTGAAGTAATGGGCCATAAACAATTTTTTTTTTTTTTTTTTTTTTTTACTTAGGAATCAGAACTGGATGGTGAGATTGACCTTTCCACATGCTATGATGTCAAAGAATACCCAGTCCAGAGAAATTATGGCTTCCAAATCCTGGTGAGTGTTGACTGTTCATGTCATAGAATGTCCTGTGTCATTAATCACCAGTAAAGATGAAACTCATTGTCTACAAGTTTAGCTCTGCTGTCTCCTGACAGTCTATAAACAGCCTTGGACACCATGTGGTGCAACTTTAGGTATCAGGTTTTACAATTTCTCTTTTTGAACCGGTTCTTTGTCTGTCATAAAAGATGTCACTTGACTGATCATCTGTCTGTGAAAGGATGACATCATGGTGATCTAAATCTGCTACAGCCACTGGCAGCACTGCTTGGCTCTGAACCAAAGTGCCCACCATCAACATGTTTACAACTTAACCTCTTATAAACAAAACCCCTATCCTTGTCCACAATTTCTCAGTAATACCTTTTAAAAACATTTTTATACACTGCAGTCTTCCTGTGAACCCAGCATGGATCCTGCTCCAAACCTAATGAGCTGGTGCTTTCTTTATATAATTGTTTGGCCATTAAACATTTTTAGCTCTTGTTGCTGGCAAAATATTTGCCGGATGTATATAGTGGCATGCAATGCAGTTTTTGTCCTTTAGATGTTGAGTTTCAGGGGGGGGGGGTTGTTCCTGTTATACATAAGATGAAAACTTCCCAAACTAATCCTATATGAGAACAGTAGCTACAATGGCATTTCCTTTGTTTATATTTCCTGAAACAGCTTCCCCAGAAAGTTATTTTCTGAAGGAAGTCAGAAATAGAGTAGTTGAGGGGATCGTTGTCTCTTTGGCTGAGAACAACACGGGTTTGGTGTCAAAGAATTAATAACCCCAGTATTTATATCTGCTCTCTCTGATGGTCGAACTGGAAAGGGCCGTTCTGTCATTAGCTTAGCTGCAGTGTAGAGTTGAACACAGCTAACCTTACTAAGTCTTTAATGGAATGTGTAGAACTGTCTTAATTGCCAGTAGAGGTCACTGTATATGGGGATAAAGTTAAATTCATTGCATTCAAAATAAAGCTGAATTATAATGATTTAATGTTCAACACATGCTTCTAAAAGTTGATATGTTGATAATGTAGGGCATTAAGAAGGCAGCTGTCAGCCAACTGTAATATTGTCCATACGTTTAAAAGTGCCACATTTGCCTCAACTCATTTTTAAAGTCAGAGGCTGCAAGCATTTAATTGCTCTTTGTAAAAATCAAAACTGCCAATAGCACAAATGATTCAAAATGTATTGTGCAATGTAATACTGTAGTTTAGTGAAAGTTTGAATAGTAAAGCTAGGAGTTTATTGAAAGCACCCATGTTGAGCAGACCTTAAGGAAATTCTACTGCCCACTTAGATTCTCTGGTTAGATTCTAACCAGAACATTTCTGAGGTCAGGTGGAGAGGCAGCAAGACAGCTGATGTTGCATTAAAAGCCTGATTACACCCTATGTGTTTTACTTGGTGCCTTAAATAAATGTGTCCAAGATGCGCGCTGATATTTCAGAATGACCTTACACCTTTCCTATCGCATCATGTAACACTAACATTTAGAAATTGTAGTGTTAGCTAGGATGTGGTTGAATGTTCACATTAGATAATTGGTAATAAAATGTTGTTTTACCTTAAATTGTGGCCTGATACCCCATCCACTGTCTTCTTGGTTTGTGATCCTCAAAGTGGTGAAATGATAACATTTTGTCAGATTCCCTACTCTTATACAACTTACAGCCTGGAACACAGCAGTAAGATATTATCCTTTTCATAAACTTCCTACCCCAGTTGTCTTGTGACAACATATTTCTGCCGTGTAACTATGGTCCTTTGAGAGCTGAGAGAGAACATAAATTGAAGGTCTTTTCCTCATAATGTGCACCTTTTAGAATTAGAAGTATTCTGAATTAAAGCTTTTTTTTACAGATGCCCACATATCCTTAAATTTTGTCAAAAAGATATTTTATTTGACATGTCTCAACCCTGTTTATTTCCAGTGTAAAGAGGGAGCATGCACGCTGTCAGCCATGACGTCTGGAATCCGACGCAACTGGATTCAGGCTATTATGAAGAATGTGCGACCCACTATTGCCCCCGATGTCACCCGGTAATACCCAAAAAGGATTAACATTTTAACCACTGGCAGATATAACAGTTGCTTCTCTCTTTTATTTTATCCTAATCCCTCTCTCTTCCTCCTTCAACCGGTATTTTCCACGTGCTTCCAGGAAAAGCATCTCTCTGAAACTATCCGTTCTGAAACCCAGGTTTGAGTGCTTGTGTGTTAAATATCTTCCCCTCCTCAAACAGTGATGTAATTGCTCAGCAATGTCAGCCCCAAAGTGTCTGTCATGTGATTGTTGAGTAATGTCCCCATGTTACTTGTGCAACTTTAGAGACACACACTGAAATAACATCAACATACTAGAATAATCCATCTAACCCATGTTGATCAACAGCAAAGAGAGATTTTAAACATTGCTGTAATGTGACTGTCCACTGTATCTTTTGGAAGCAACAGTGAAATTATAACTGAAGCACAGAACGTAAAAGCCTGACATGTAAACATTTATTTTTTTCTGGAACTGTTCTGACACACTGGTTTACTTAATGATTTTTTTTAACCACCTAATCTTTTAATAAATATTTTTTAAGTTGGGTATTTCCTTTCAGATTGGTCATTACATATGATGCACCCTCTGACACTGTACTGTGCCAGTGTGTCTCTTAGCAGCTCAATCTGGCAGAATGTGTTATATCTTGGGCATTTTTACATAGTCTCCTCAGGCAGCTCTTTCTCATTCTTGAGCCGTTATTTTAAGCATTTTCCTTCACATAGCATAGTGAAAAGTGCTCTGTTGCATTAACAGTGTACAGTTTACTGCAAACACATTCTTCTCGTTAAGCCACTGTAGAAATGGGAATTTCTTCGGATCATGACTGAACATCATCGCTGCTTTCAGCCCGGTGCAAAGCGTGCCTTATAAATGTTTAATGTTATGATTTTTGACTGTGATGCATTCCATTGATTTGATCACTTTTTAAATCAGGGTATCTTCAGGTCTTGAACAGTTATTTTAAAAAATTATTCAGTTACCTGAAACTGACTAGAAGGGATTACAAAGCCTTAGATATGAATTATAATAGTAGTATTTTCTTCTGCTTGTCCTGAGCAATAATGTTAGTCATAAATTATTTTCATATCCAACTCTAGCCTGTCATGAATCATTATACAAAAAGTAAAACTAAAAGTACGATTTTTGCGAGAGTGGATTGTGCTGTAGGAAGCTGTTCAGTCCATGTTTGTGGACATTCAATCGGCACCATTAGGCCTGTTGCAAGTACTGCCACTACTGCAAGCTCCAGCAGCTAGGAAGCTGATTCTCACAATGGGCACATGTCAGTTTCAGCAGAATGACTTACTTCAGTTCTTTATTTTTCATTGTTTTATCCACCCATCCATTTTATGCCACTTATCTGGGTCCAAATCACACCGGTAAAATTAATTGTATCTGTAGAAGTTATTGTTACATTCTTCTAGGGAGTACTGAAAACATAATTATAGCAATAAATATTTTTACTCCATATTGTCCTTAATGGTTTTACGGTTATAGATTGACTGGTGTGATTGTGAAAAAGGCATTAAATCACATTTTGTGATATTTAAAAAATATATCTAAAAGTAACTTCTGCCCTGCAGAAACCCTGTAGATGCACTGTTAAATGATGCTGCACTACCAGAAATGTCTGCGTTGTTGTCTTGTCTAGCAAAGCTTTATGTTGTAGTACTATAGTTTGAGTTGATGTAAATGTGAACAATCATTGTCAGGTTCAGTTGAATATACATCTCCTTTATTTGTTCTGGGGTTTTTTTTGTTTTTGTTCAGATCTCTCACTGATGAAAAGCTAAATACCCAAGTGGTGTTGGAGCCATGTCTACACACCACCCCTGAGCCAAGGCCCAACTCTGAGGGTCCAAAGTCTGATGTCCACAGACAACCAGCTAGCAACAATGCCTCTGTCCCTCCCTCTGAGCCCCGTAAAAGCAGAGTTCGTGAGCGCAGACGAGAGGGCCGCTCTAAGACTTTTGACTGGTCTGAGTTTAAAACCGAGCAAACAGAAAAGCCTCTGAAGGAACGAGCAGACACGGTTGACCTCAACTCTTCATTCTCCACAACCTCCTCATACTGCTCACCTTCCTCTTCACCTTCCTCATTAGCATCCTCTCCTGTCTCTACCTCCTCCCTCCAGACCTCCTTGATATCAGGTGCTAACCCAACCTCTATGACAGAGGAAGCAGAAAAGGAAAATGTTAAGAGGGGTATCCCTCCGCACAACACAAGTGGAACCCACATGCCAAATACAGTTACTATTACCATGAATTCCACATTAAACACCACATCACCTGTACAACTGTCAATACCTGAACGTCAAGGAAAGATGGAAGTAGACAACCCTACAGCCATGCATCCTGTTGGTGGAGATAAGGACAACAGAACCACAGATGTCCAGGAAGAAATTGAGCAGCGATGGCAGCAGGTGGAGACAATACCATTGAGGGAAGAGAAGCAAGTGCCCATCACCACAGCTTTAGTAAATTCTGGTAGCTCTGACAGATTGCCTGCACATGAACTTGCTGCGCTGCTAGACAAAGAGGTGTGTTTAGTGTTTGTGGTCATATACACTATGTTTACTGTACTGGAGCATCTTTTGCCATTGATGTTCTCTTTGTTCAGCTGGGACAGAAGCAGAAGGAGCTGGACCAACTACAGGAGCAGAACAACCTTTTAAAAGAGCAGCTGGAAGATGCACTGGGAAGAGAACAAAGTGCCAGAGAGGGCTATATACTGCAGGTACTGCACTCAACATCCATCACACAGGATTAGTATGGGTGTTTTCATTGACACTATATATAAATAGCATAGCAACAGGAATTTTGACAAAAATCTTGAGCATTAAAAGTTAAGAATGGTATTAAGTATTGCAATGTAGTATACATGTACTGGTCAAATGTGTAGTGTGGCAGTTATCAGCTATACCACAGTACTTTAGTAGATTGTATTTTTGTTATACAGTCTACTGATTTACACTGAATTGTGTGGCTACTATAACTTATAAAATTCTACTAACAGGTATGGGTGCTTATTACCTGAAACTGTTACGCATGGTTGTGGTGTTCTGAGCATGAATTTTCACAAACTGTTTTTAACGGAGTTTCACATCTCCTGGGAACGTAATTGGTTTGCTCTGATATACTAAGGTATGAAACTTGATCGATAGGCCTTGCGCTGTGCTTTTTCTCTCTCTGCTTTGTCTGTGTCCTTTTACAAGCTTCATTTCTGCATGCTTTTTGGTTGTTTCTGAATCTCATACCTTAAACACTTTTCTACATGATGCTCATATTCGTTATAACTGTGAAATTATCACAAAATCTTAAGTTATTTTTGTTGTACCATATAAAATTTGCGAAAGTTACTTGACCTGATTTTTATTTTTAATTCCCTATATTAGTGACCCACTTTGTCAGTTGGGTTTGTTAGAGGTTTATTCATTTAAAATTTTTCAATTGCCAAGTCGCCTCTGAAAAAGCACAGTGGAAGCTTGAAAAAATACGCTCTTCTTTTGATAAGAAAGGAGAAAACTTATATTCCTGGTAACCCCTGAGATGTGGTTCTCCATACAGTGGCAAGAAAAAGTAAACAACCTTGCCTGCATTTATGTATATATTTGTTTTAAATAATGGTCAGATCTTCATCTAAGTTACAATAATGAACAAACAATCTATTTTAGCTAATAACACAAATCATGGTCTCATCTATATTGAATTGCACATTCACAGTGTAGGTTGGAAAAAGTATGTGAAGCCTTAGGCTGATAACATCAGTAAATGTCAATCAGAGGAGATTTAACAAAGCTAGAGTTCAGTCAATGAAAGACCATTGGAGGTGTGGGGCAGAGCTACTCTGTCTTATAAGCAGGCAAACATTTTGAATTTGCTATTCATAAGAGGCATCTGCTGGCGTGAACTATGACTCACAAAAAAGAAGTTTCAAAAGACTTGTGATCGAGAGTTGTTGATTTGCATAAAGGAATGGGTTACAAATAATAAATAGTTTGGCTATTCATCAGTCCACAGTTACTACCAATTACTACTCTGACTGCTCTCCCTAGAATTGGATCCCAGCTAAGATGACTCAATCCAGAATTAATGAGGTAAAAAAAAAAGAAGTCCAGAGTAACAGCTAAAGGGCTCACCAGAGCTGATTAACATTTTGTCCATGAGTCTACCTAACACAAATCACTGAACAGGCAAATAGTTCTTGACAAGACACCACAGAGGAAGCCACTGCTCTCCACAAAAAATATCACTGTATGCCTAAAGTTTGGCAAAGAGCACCTTATGTTCCACAAAGTTGCTAGTTAGTTACTAAAATGCATGCAGTGCAGTGTGCACTGATAGAACTAAGGTTGAATTGGTTGGGAAGAGCACAACAGCATTACATATGTATGGTGTAAAAAAGGGTAATGCATACAACATGGATGAGGTATAGAGGGAGGGTGCATTATGATTTGAGGCTGCTTTGTTGCCTCTGGGCTCAGACAAATGCTAATTTCCCCAAGAGGGAGAAATGTATTCCCCAGTTTATTAAAATGTCAGGGTGGCTGTCCACCAGCAGGACAATGACCCTAAACTTGGAAGTAAATCTGTTAGAGAATAGCTTCAAATGAAGAACATCTGCCTTTTAAACTGGTCCAGTCAGAGCCCAGATCTTAATTCAGTAGAGGTACTGTAGAATAAAGTCAGAGCTGTTCACACTAGACATCCTATGAATATGGCTTTGCTGAAGCAGCTTCTGAACATTGGGCAGGTCTGATTCACAGCTGCAAGAAGTGCTTGTTTGAAGTTGCCTGCACCAGAGGAGGTTCAGTAAGTTAAGGGTACACTTATTTTTTCCATCAGCGCTGTGAATGACCAATAGGTGTCTTCAAGACAAAAGATTATAATTGGTTGTGTGTTATTAGCTTATACACATTGTTTGTCTATACTTGTGACTTGAAGCTTAGATCTTGTTTTATGACCAATTAATACAGAAAAACAGGTAAATCCAAAGAGTTCCCATACTTTTTCTTACCACTGCATATGGTAAGGAAAGTAAGGTGACATTATTAATTAAACTGTATCATCAATCTTTTTCAAGAGTGCAACACCCCCTTCCTCTTCACCGCACAGAGCACCATGGAAACACTTGCACAAGCTTAATCAGGATTTGCAGGGTGAATTGGAAACCCAAAAGCGCAAGCAGGACCTTGCTCAGCAGCAGATTCGGACACTAAAGAGAAGCTACACTGAAGCCCAGGATGCTGTAGACCGCCATGAGGCTGATATTCAGGCACTGCGGGCTAAACTTGCATCTGCAATGGCTGAAATCTTAGCTAGTGAGCAGGCTGTCACCCGAATGCGCAATGAGCTCAAACTAGAGCAGGAACGTTCAAGAGAACATGAGGAGGAACATGGACGTAGTGAGGCCACCCTACGAGCCCAGCTAAAGGACAGTGAAGATAGACTTCGTGAAGTAGAAGCCAGTCTCTTAGAGAAGAACCAGGCTCTTAGGCACCTGGAGCACCAGCAAGCCCTACAACGAGACCACATGAGAGAGATACAGAGGTTGCAGGAGAGGTTGCAAGAAGTGACTGCTCGACTAAGTGCTACTGAAGAGGGCCAGGCACTGAAGGAGGAGCGCCTGAGGAGGGAGCAGCATAGTATGCAGGAGACTCATGAGAGAGAAAGACAAAATCTGTGTAGAAAATTAGCTGAGGCTGAATCTGCACGGAAAGAGGTGGATGAAAGGCTGCGGGAAGCTGAGCAGCAGGTAGAGGCACTGTTAAGAGGGAGGCAAGCCTCAGGAGGAAAAGAGTGCAAGGAGGAAATGCAGAAGTTGCAAGAGGAGCTGGCTCAGAAGACTGACATGGTTGAGTCACTAAGGGAGAGTGTGCATAGGCTGGAAGAAGAGAAAAGCCACCTCACTTGTCGCTGTCAGGAGCTTCTTAACCAGATTGCAGAAGCAGACTGTGAGGTGAATAAGCTCCGCAATCGTCTGGAAACTGAGGAGGCTGATTACTACACCTTGGAACACTCATATGAAAGGGCTACCCACGAATTTCAGAAAATGAACCAGTTCCTCCGAGAAAAAGAGGAGGAAATCCGGCAGACTAAGGAGATGTATGAGAGGCTGGTGGAGCGCAAGGAGGACGACCTTAAAGAGGTGCTTATTAAACTGACAGTGCTTGGCAACAGTTTGGAGGAAACAGAACAGAAGTTGCAAGCTAAGGAGGAGCTTCTTTGTCAAATGACTCAAAGCCTCTTGGATAAGGTTGAGCCCTGTAGTGCTGAAAAGGATCTGCAAGCCAAGCTTGTGGTTGCAGAGGATCGTATTGCAGCATTAGAGCAGCATCTCAATGCCCTTCAGCTGGGCTATGCTGACTTACGCATGGAAAGGCAGCAAATTCCAGAAGAGCGCAAGAAGGGAAGGGTTGAAACGCCACCCTCCTCATCACCAAACACGGAGCTCTCACTTTCCCTTGACAATGCATCCAAGATGGCGAAATCCTCAGATGATAAGGAGTCTCAAGCTAAGAGACCAAGGATACGTTTCTCCAGTATTCAGTGCCAAAAATACATCAGCTTAGAGGACCTGGACACAGCCCATGTGAGCAGTACCTTTGTAGACACAAGACATACAGATAACCAAGATACAAATGATGACATTCATGTAACTGAAGGAACTATCTCCCCAGATATCGCATTCCAACACACTAGTGACCCAGAGAAGTTTATCTCCATCATACATGCCCTAGAGACTAAACTGCTAGCCACTGAGGATAAGCTAAGGAACCTTACACAGAATCTAGAAGAGCAACCATCCACCCAGGCAGAAGAACTGTCTAAGATCAATGTAAAAATGACAGAAAAAAACCCTTTCCCAGAAAAAGCCTTTAGTTGTGGAAGTGGGATACAGAGTGCTGCTAATAAGCATTATTCCGAGGCCCTGGTTTGCATCGAAGATAGTCGAGAGACGGTCAGGGCTATTCTCAGTGGCTCTCATGACGCCTCAGGTTCACAACTGCATTTGCTGTCAGACATAGAGAACAATTTGTTCAGTGCATCACTGCACATCCGACAAGGACAAAAAGTGTTGGAACAGCAACCACTAGCTGTACATAAAAATCAAGCACCAGAACTTCTAGATAAAGAAGCTCTGCATCTCTTTGCTAAAACTTTGTCTTTTGAGGCAGTAGTTTTGAACAAGATGGCTTTGTTGATACAGACTTCAAAGCCTGACCTCTTACAAGCTCTGATGGAGATATGGAAAGACATAGAGAATATTAAAAGGAGTGATAAAGATTGCCTGGCTATCGTCTATGCTGATGTCTTGACCAGGAAGTTGATGTTAGAGAGTGCATTCTGGAACGATGTGGAAAAAGCTGAGACAGATGTTGCCAAATCTAAAGAGGGCAGTGTGTCAGCTGATGTAGATGTGGATGCCACAGCTATCTTTAACACCATCATAAAAGCAGAACTAGCCTACTCAATTCAAAACCTTAAACTTGACTATGAGCAGAAATTTGAAATATTGAAAAGGGAGTTGACTGAGGCTTATAATAAGTTGCATCAAAGAGAAATGGCTCTGAAAGCAATTATTGAAGCTTATGAAACACCTGGTTTGAAAAATGTTATAAAAGAAGTCAAAAATGACTTTAAGGTTAGTAAACAAGAGTTAGCTGACATTCACCCCCCTGAACTTGCTCCCTACATGGAGCAGATTGAAATAGAAGTGGCTAGAGACTTGGCTGAGGAAACTGTAGACAGGATCTTGGCTGGAGAAACGCCCCCATATAGTGGTGACCCTATTCAATCACTGCAAAATACACATGACAACCTGGCTAATGAGCTTCAGAGACAAGCAGCAGTCCTGCATAAGTATGCTGAAGAGATAGAAAGCGGTGGCAGCCATCCTGGGCTGGCTAAAATGGTCCATGCTCTTTTAGGACACCAAACCTCACATAATTTCACAAGTACATCTCTTTGTATGCGTGAAGCCCTTATCCAAGCTCAAGTGGCCTATGTGGCATGCCGGTTGAAGGCCATGCATGAGCAAGACTTGGGCTGGTGTCGACAGACAGGTCAGAACATGGAAGCTCTTGTGCAGCAGCATGCCCGCAATGTCACTGCAATCCAGGAGAAATATGAAGTATCCTTACAGGAGGAGCGCCTGAACTTCACACAGACAGTGGCCAGTCTCCAGAAGGAGAACCAAACGCTAAAGAGTGAGATCAGCGAACGTGTGACCCAGCTCTCCCAGCAGCAGGAGCAACTTGCCCTTCTGGAGGAACATTACCAAAAGAAGACTGAAGAGCTCAAGCAGAGGCACAAGAAAGAGCTAAGCCAAGCAGAGCACGGCCATGCTTCAATGGAACTGGCCCTCACGGAGACAACAGCTGACAGCCAACGAAAGTTAGAGGTTCTACTGGTGGACATGGACACCATGGAGGAGCGGCACGAGAGTCATGTGAAGAAACTGGAGGAGCAATTTGAAGAGAGGATCTGTGAGCTCCAGCACATTCACAAAGAGGAGATTGAAAAGTTACATTGTCGGTATGTAGAAAATGTTCAGCGTGTTAAAGATGACCAGCAGGACAAAAAGGTCCCGGAGGTTTCACACTCTGCACCTTGTGATGAGGCAACAATACCAATGGAAGAGGAGGAGCAGGGAAAGTGGCATGCACAAAACATGTCTGAGGTGGATTCCATGGTGCTTCTGAAAGACCGAATTCAGGAGCTGGAGACTCAAATGAACACCATGAGAGATGAACTGGAGAACAAGCACCTCGAAGGAGATGTGGCCAGCCTAAGACAGAAATACCAGAGAGACTTTGAGAGTCTTAAGGTTTTTGCTCTTTCAGTATTACCTTAATGAATTAGTTTTTGTTTTTTTAAGCGAGAGATTAGTAGGTGAATAGTGAAATATCCTGTAGCTAAGTAACGCGTACATTTTGTTCATCAATCTACTAATATTCACTGATGATTTGAAATTGGGAAATGGTTTGGTTTTAGGTTGCCTGTACATTTTAAAACTGAAACCTAGATCAGATCTAACAGTTTCTTCTTTTGGGCATCAATAAGCATACCATTTCCCACATTCAACAATAGAAGGAAGTACAGTGACTAAATGCAGTCTTGCTGGAGTAGAATTTCACTGCTATAACTTGCTCTCTAGCTAACGTAGCTGGGCTTTAGATTATAAAAGGCTTGTATGGCTTCTGTCACTTATTTTGCATGGCACACCATGCACTGTACAACTATTAGGTACTGCACTGAATCTACAGTCACAAATTAAAATACAGATGATGGTAAGTGCAGCACTATTTATGTGATGACAGATTTTTGACTCTTTCATTCCGTAGGCCACATGTGAACGTGGCTTTGCTGCAATGGAAGAAACACACCAGAAGGTGATAGAAGACCTTCAGAGGCAGCATCAGAGGGAGATTTCCAAACTTATGGAGGAGCGAGAGAGGTTACTAGCTGAAGAAACTGCTGCCACAATTGCTGGTAAAGAAATGAGTTTTGTTACTCCCCACAGTTACTGTACTTTAAACAAGACTCTCAACCATAATTAAATACGTGATCTGTCTTAATTATAGCTATTGAAGCTATGAAAAATGCACACAAGGAGGAACTAGAGAAGACCCAGCGCTCCCAGCTCAGCGGACTGAACTCTGACATTGATGAACTTCGCTTGGAATACGAGTATGGTGGTGTTCCCCTCTTTTTTTTTTTTTTTTTTTTTTTTTTTTTTTGAGAACACAAAATTTTTGTTTTACACAATAGAAACAGGGAAAGGGAAAGAACATTTGTCTTTTTCTTTGATTAAAATTATTAATTAAGCTCTGCTGGGTGTAAGCTTGAAAGTCAACCACTAAAAACATGGTTCTTTATTGCAGTTAAGGACAGCTGTACTTAACATTTGTAAACCTGTCCCACCGAAAAAAACTTGTACACTAGAACATGATGAAGGGATCCTGTTTCTTTTGAAACTGAAAAATACTAAAACACAACAGGTAAGCTTCAGAAGAGAACTCCAGTTGATTGTATGACCATTTGGTTGTCTAGGGAGGAGCTGCAGTCCATCCAGAGGGAGCTGGAGGTGTTGTCGGAGCAGTACTCTCAGAAATGTCTGGAGAATGCTCATCTGGCCCAAGCACTGGAGGCAGAGAGGCAGGCCCTCAGGCAGTGTCAGCGAGAGAACCAGGAGCTCAATGCTCACAACCAGGTTTGAATGCACGTACATGCACATATACAGAAATATCTCTCTCCACTGGTTAAAACACATTTGTTCTGTCCAACAGGAATTAAATAACCGACTGACTACAGAGATCACTCGGATGCGCTCCTGCTTCAGCGGAGAAACTGCACTGTCACCACTTACCCAAGGAAAAGATGCGTATGAACTGGAGGTATGTGTAAACATGCGCGCGCGCACACACACACACACACACACACACACACATTGATGATTTGAGTTTTTGTCTTTTCCTTGTAGGTGTTGTTACGAATTAAGGAGTCAGAGATCCAGTACCTTAAACAGGAAATCCACTCTTTGAAAGATGAACTGCAGTCTGCTCTAAGGGTAAGCTAAACTAGTGTTAATGTACTGCAGACATTTTACTGAAAGTATGTAGCTGCATTTCTTCATGTCTTTTAACAAAAATTTTAAAAACTGAGGCTATATCATCAATTTTCATTTGACCAGGACAAGAAATATGCTACAGACAAATATAAGGACATCTACACCGAGCTCAGCATTGTGAAGGCAAAGGCTGACTGTGACATCAGCAAACTGAAGGAGAAACTGCTCATTGCCACAGAAGCTTTGGGTGAGAAGACTGTTGATGGAACAGTCACATCTGGATATGGTAAGTAGAAAAAGCTTAATCTTCTTATAATTAAGCCCTGAATAAATTCAGTAAATCCAAATTTTATTTGCAGTGCCAAAGATTTTGATCAGTAATGTCAGCAGGCATAAAAACTGTTTGTCTGTCAAAAAGCATAACCAGTGTAGCTGTTAGTTTGCATATGTATCAGTCTTATAACGCATACACGATGCTATTCTGCTAGATGTTACTGATAATGACATTGTGTTTTTAGATATTATGAAATCAAAAAGTAATCCAGATTTCATGAAAAAAGAACAGTCACCAACCTCCAAGCAATTGAGAGGCGCAAGGTCGAAGGTGAGTGTCAAATTTTATAAAGTTGATTGCTTTATTTTGCCCTGACTGAGCCATCCAGAGTAAAACCCACACAGTCCGCCTCACCATTTGAGCTTGCTGTGTGATGTGATGTTTCAAGATTTTGTCATGGACTTTATCACTGTTAATTGTTGTACTTGGTTGGTCAAGACGTTTTCACTAGCCTGGTTTCCATCTAAATGTAAAGCGAAGCTTGTGAAGTTCGCAAAAAAAGCGAATTAGGCATATAAGTCAAAAACCACCTCAAGCAAGCATAAAATCTTTTTGCAAAGGAGAGGATTTTTTTTTTTTTTGGTCTTTTCATCACCTTCTGATGAAATACTTCAAAATGCGCATTAAAAAACAGGCTAATGGAACCCCCCGTTACTGAAAGTCTGTTGTGCTGTAAGTTTGTCCTCTGTCTATTTTATCCGTCAGTCTGTCACTGAACAGGTCTCATGGGATAGCTGACACTCCCATTGTGGGGTGATTCCCCACCCCACCCCCCTGCCCCAAGATGCGCTGTAGGTATAGCATGATGTAGTGCAAAGCATGACCTCATTCTCGCATGATCTCCCCCATCACCCCAACCCTTTCTTTTTGTACCAGCCTGCCTCAGCACAGCTGACTGTAGTGTCCACTCCTCAGCTGAATTAGATGGATGTGAGCATTAACAGTCATGCAAAAACCTCTCGGGTTACATTCCTCTGCCATACATGTGCTTAGAAGAGTAGTTTGGCATTTTGGGAAATACACTTATTTGCCGAGATTTGTTGATCCTTATTTACTTTTCCACTGTGCCCTACAGCTATGTGTACCATCTGCAGTATTACCATTTCATGGGAGGAAAAGTACTTCATACACAGCCACAATAATAAAGTGCATTAAAATAAAATGTCCAGTAGAAACCTCTCACTTTGTACTTTTCAGCAGCAAAAGAAATTTCACCGGCACCCTGACAAGGCCAGAAACATTACAGAAGAGCTGAGTGAATTAAGTTGCACAAGCAGCCCATTTCTAGGCAGTCCTGATACTACATCTCTGAAACTGCCATACTACGACTGACACAAAATGTGAAGCAGCTTGAACATCTACAGTACAACTGACAGCGTTTTGTCAGAATTTTCAAGTAAGGTTGTATACTTGTGATTTCAGCATTAATAGTTGGAGTGCTGTATGTTTTGGTCAGGGCTTTGTAAGAGTTATTTGTATTTGAGCAATTAAATATGAAGCTATAGCCAGCAGCTGATTTTGCTTAAGATGTCCCGATCAAGGGTTTTAGGCTCCGATCCCTAACCTAGGTTCTTCGATACAGATGCTGATCAGATATTTAAATTGTCTAGTGTAACCAGTCCAATAACCCTAGATAACTTAACATTAGGCAGAATCACAGCTGTTTTCAGAAGTTATTTTAACATACAGATATTAGTTATTGATTTCTCTCATCTAAGTCTCGACAAGAAAGCAAATAAGTGTATTTTCCAAAAATGCCACCTAATGAAATGGCACTTGGGCTTGGTTATATTTAACAGCGTCACCTGTGTACTACCACAAATTTACAGTAACCTGACAGGGAGAAGTGTCTGTGTGAGTTTGCAGTAGCAGTTTGGGAACATCAGTGGACTAATGACTTTTCTCATGTCATCATGAAGGGTTTTGGTCTGTCTTTTTTGTTTTGTGTGTTATGCAACACATCTCATATGTTCCAACATTGTTTTGCTCTGTTGATATAAAAACCCTTTCTCCAGTTGTGAGTCACTGAATCATCAGTCTTGGAATTTATGTGCCTGCAAGTTTTACGGTTTGGCCTGAATTACTAAACGGTGGTTTTGGAAAGTATACAGAACACTTCACTTTTTGCACACTTTATGTTTGTACATTTATTTTTAAAGCGATAAAACTAGCCATTTATATGCATCGGCTGGAGCAGAAAAATGTCTGGAATCAACAGATGACTAGCACACAACATAACTGTTTTGTGGTGTCTGTGTGTTTCTGTTTATTAATGTTCTTTTCCCAAATGTGCCCTTATCTGTAAAATATTTTACTTCCCTTTTTTTTTTTCCTTAACAGAGCCTGAAAGAGGGACTAACTGTGCAGGAACGCATGAAGCTTTTTGAGGCAAAAGATTCCAAAAAGATTTGATCAACGATCTGAAGTTCCCTTTCTCTTTCCTGGCCTCAGTTTTTGGTCCGATTGCTATGGCGGTGCCAGCATCAGCTGAAGCCTCTTAGGAAACGGAAAGACTTTATAAAGGTCAGTTCTACACCTGGACCTGCTGCTTCCATGCCTCTAATAAGTGGTCATATTTGTTTGATTGTTCTTTTTTAATTAATGGATACATGTTTTACTGAATCAATCTTGTGTAAGGTTTTATAAAAAAAAAATACAAAGGTTGGAGATGTTGAATAAGCTGTGAGAGGGGATACATGACAACATTTTTATTCATCCTCCAAAATGCCAAAACAGACAGCAATACCTGGGATGAATAATATATATTTCCCAAAATGAATTAAGTATCTGCTGTATTGTATTATTGTTGGTTTCTTTAGCTAATAATTTTATTGTTCTTAATGTTGCACCAGTGCTGTTGTACATAACTACTGGATATATGTAAACGTATGGTTTGCTATTGATTGTTGGGGCATCTGCTGTACTATAACTATGGTTTGATTGATAATGGAAAACAATGTGATGCTTAAGTGGCTTATGTATGAGAGTTTTGTCCAAACTGAGTGTCTGTGTTAGGGAAACATGGTGGGATTGCACTTATCACTTGACTACTTGGGGAAGATTTTTGAAATTTGTCTGATTGGTGTTGTGACCTAAAGTCAATTTGTGCAGTGCAACCAAACATCCTGACTTCTGGCAAATTTAGTGAAGAACCATGACTTGCTGATGTTTTTTTATATATTTTTTTTCTTTTTTTTTTGCCTAAATTTGTTTGCTCAGTTTTAACTTTGGTGTGAAAATATCATCTCAAAAACTATTTAGGACTTTGCATGACTGTACAGTAGAATTTGAACTGCAGAATGATCATGTTGCCTCACTTTCCTACTTTATGCTTTAGTGTGGAACTTAACACTAATAAGCTTTGCAAGTCCTACTGTTTAGGTGTTGATATTGAAATGTTTTACTGTAAGCAGCAGTTATCAAGCACTTGGCCCCATCCCTGACCTCCTCACTGAATATCTAGTTGTGCCTCAACTGAGTGAAGAATATAAACATCCATGAAACTTGTGCAGCTATGGATACACACTGTATAGTATTCCAACCATGCCTTGTATATATATATATATATATATGCCACACAGAGGATTTCTGTGTTTTGTTTTAAACTTGTACCTTGCTCACTAGCTCTATATTGAAATATATTTTTTATTTTCATTTGAATGTATAATGTCAAATAAATGAAGTGTTTGGAAATCTTTGAATAGTATACTATGGTAATAGCCAAACATCCATGTCTGAGCTGACAGTGATGTGCTGTAATAATGGAAATTCTTGAAATATTGTACTTCACATCTACAGCACCAAGGTGCGCTGTAAACACACTTAAGTATTGTACTTAATTACACATTTAAGATACTTTTACATTTGTTTGATAAGTATAGTTACTAATTACTTTCCAGAGTAAGATTTCATATTTGGACAGATGGGGGGGAAAAAACAACACCCCTGATCTTTCAGATAGGTTTGTTAGCAGGTCCACTAAAAAGAACATTTTCCCCTCTTTTTCTTAGGTTTTATTTAAATGGCTGATTAAGGTTCAAAGAGGTAAATAATACAATATTTAACAGAAAGCAAGTTAAACAAATGCAAAGAGATTTACATAGTAGAATTTTGGGTTGTTGTTGTTCACTATATTAATAAACTTCACCACGACTCAGGTTTATCTTATGCCCTTAGGTAGGGACTTTACCCTTGGGTAGGGAAATGCTTCTAATACATTGCTTCCCTCTACACATTTGTGCTTTTCTTTAAGGTGGGTTATATGTATATACAGGGATTTCTTAAAGGTATTGTTCTGTTGGTACTTTTACTTGAGGGCTTGGAGTAGGCTACATCTTCCACCACAGTGCTTTTGTCTATACATCAGTAACAGGAAACACCATTGTTCCTGAGAAACAAACTGCCTCATTCACCAATATCTTAATTTTTGTGTGTGGATTCTGAGTCAGAAACAGACAGCTGAATAATCTTTTTAAGATGACCGTGTCCTTGTTGAGTAGTGTTGGGGCAGTGCTTCAGTTTACAGAAGTGGTTTAGCCTGACTTGTCCACAGTCAATTGGGAACAGCCTGTTCAGAAAGGTCAACATCAACTTTTAATGTTAACGTGTACTTTACGGGTCAACAATATGTCAAATTTTTATGGATTAATGACGCATATTGTGCAAACAACACTGCCTTTTTGGCTTTCCATACCTAATGTGCCTCGTTCTTCTCTTGCTGTTTTTCCCCATTCAATTCAAAAAGTGAATCAGCTTCTTAAATGAAAAGTAAAATTTATTATTCCTGAACCACAAAATAGACTTCTTTGGTTGTACAAATTCACAAGTTAGTCTTGTATGAGCTCTAACCTTTGACCCCTTCCTGCCGACCTGTTTACAAGTAAAAGCCCCCAAAGCGAACTCAAAGATAAAAGAATAAACAAACTTAAAACACTGCATTAATAATGTAGTGAATCCCACCTGGAAAAAAAGATTTACCAACTGTAAGTTAGAGATATCAGCCATTGCAAATGTTATCAAACTAAATTCCAATCAGAGAGAGAGAAACATGGAAGACTATCATTAGAAGACCCTACGTTAAATGAACACAGATTACTACTATGCTGTGAGTCTGCAAAAATATCAGTCAGATACATAAATGGACAGTCTGTCAAGCAATGAGCTGAATGTCTGAATGAGGTCAACATCGTGAGAGGGATTTCTAATTATTACTGCCTCTGGTGGCTCTCCCATTAACAAACCAGTATACATGCAGAGAGCACTCTGATACCAAGCCTGTCTAGACCCAGATGTGTCAGCAGTCCAGACACTTATTCGGTCTAGGTCAAGACTGGCTTGGTTTCACACCCACAGTTTGCATTGCTTTCACTATTTGTATATTATTCACACAATAAGTGATTTTCAGTGGCATAAGATTTAAATTAACCTTAGAGAAATAAAACACCTGCTACCTTCACATCACATCTGGAATACCTCCACATAACACAAGGATGATGCATGATTCACATTGATAAAATGTAAAACCATGCCCTAAACAGGGTTCGACAAAGAACACCGACCCATCCAGCCCAACTGAGCTCAAGCCTCCAACTGCTCTAAAAGAAGCCCAGGATGTTCCCAAGGCTGGACCATCACAGTTCAGCAGACCCCCACCCCCTAAACCCAAAGGGTCTGTTCAGTCACCTGCAAACAAAGAGAAAGAATAGTCTAAAGTGAATAAAGTCCCCATTCCTCTCAAGCCCCAGTTAAACAGTGAGAATATGTAAAAATGTAAGAGAAGTCGAGGGCTGGATCCCCCTCAAATTATCTGAGCAAGAAACCTTAGTGTGAGTTTGCTCTTCAAGCCATCACTTTAGGATTAAGTAAAGGATTAAAATGACCAAATTAGCACTACTTTGTAGCTAAGTAGCTTTTTTTAAATTTATGACTGCTCTACTCTGAAATGAAAGGGTGAATACAGATTAATACAGAAACTGTACAGCCCCCCAACCCCTGTAAGAAGTCTACTGAAATATTTATTAGGGCTGCACAATAAATAGTTTTATGAGTGTGATTTAGATGCCTGTGCAACCCCTGCCTTGTGTGACAATGATGTGAGAAACTGAAACCAGAAAACATTCTAAATGTATGCCTATCCAGCTGTTGGTTAGCTCAGTGGCTAACACCACTGTATTTGGTACTGCAGGTTGGGGTTTGATTCTCTGTCAAGGCACGGTCAATATTCAGCATGGGCCCTTAGTGGGGAGATGCCTTGCATCAAGCACCCCCTTTTTGTGGTCAGACCCTATCATCACTACACAAATTCATTCATTCTTTTTAAATTGTACACATACCTGCAGTTCCTAAATCACAGTCTGCTTTGGGGTGCAAATTTAGAATGTGTTTATTTAGGAAAGTCTAATCTATCTACCTTTTATAGCACCAAACCAGGAAGTAAAGGAGAACATCCACGTCAGCAGCTGGTGGAGCTGGATGGAGAGCCTGCACTTACAAAGAATGGACAGATCTGTAATTTTCATCATAGGTACACCTCAACAGTGAGAGAGAGAATCTACAAAAAAAAAATCCAGAAAATCACATTGTTAAATTTTTAAATAATTTATTTCCATTTTATTGCATGAAATAAGTATTTGATACAATAGAAAAATAGAACTTAATATTTGGTACCGAAACCTTTGTTTACAATTACAGAGGTCAGACGTTTCCTGTAGTTCTTGACCAGGTTTGCACACACTGCAGCAGGGATTTTGGCCCACTCCTCCATATCTTTCAGGTTTTGGGGTTGTCGCTGGGCAACACGAGGGTGCTGAAACTCCCTCCATAGATTTTCTATTGGGTTCAGGTCTGGAGACTGGCTAGGCCACTCCAGGACCTTGAAATGCTTCTTACAGAGCCACTCCTTAGTTGCCCTGGCTGTGTGTTTGGGGTCATTGTCATGCTGGAAGACCCAGCCATGACCCATCTTCAATGCTCTGACTGAGGGAAGGAGGTTGTTGCTCAAAATCTC